TCAATTAAAAAATTTAGTTATTTTCTACATTTTTAATTTAGTTAAAAGAAAACTTATTCCTTCACTCATCACAAACATAATGTTAAAATTTCACACACTGAAACTGTAATAATTTAGGGTTTCTATTTAGTAACTAAATAGAAAAGATACATTAAGTCTGCAAATGGAATATGTTAGTCACCAATCTCTTACCTGTGAATTGTAAGAAAAAAATATTAGAGTTAGCTTTCTATTGACTGCTAAATATTTTTTAAAGGACTATAAAAAATTCAATTAAGGTTATCCTTTCTAGGAACAATTTACCCAGTGGTAAGGACAAAGGTTAAAGTCAGACTTTCTATCATGACCAACCTGGCCCTACTGGATCTCCATCAATAACTTGGCCAGAGACCCACTCTCTTTGAAGAGTCCTCACTCAAAAGCCAGGGCACTGAAATCTGAGGCCCTGGGAATGGACAGAGGCTACCAATGGGGCAGGAACCAGAGAAAAGGAGATACTAAGGAAAACTGGGCTCTGACATCTAATAGGTCTATACATTTTTCATACCTTAAGTCAGGTTTAAGAAAATGAAATTCAATTTGCAATTCAGTTGGAAAAATAAATAGTTTAGATCCAGAGCTACAAAGCGACTTAGGTCCCTTAGTCACAGCTAAAAGTTATATCATATCGTGTTTGGTTCCTTAAACTTGAAAGATTTAAACTACTGGTCCACTTTTTCCTATTATGCAGCTGTTCTGAGCTGCAACAGAATATATGGGTAAAGGGCCATATTCTGTAGAGAATGATTTAACTCTTGTCATCCTAAACTAAAAATGCCTCAACAACTATAGCTAAATTTCTTACTTCCATCCCATTATCAAGCCAAAGAAGCTGAAATTTCTTCCAAACTTGAAAGATTAAAAGGCAGTTTCATTAAGAGTGATTTATAAGGGCAGTTATATTACAAGGATAGTTCAGTTAAATTATGTATTTGTAAATATATATTTTCACAAAGCCACTTCCCTCTTATCTGGAAAACCCCACTGATGTAATTCCTTACACAATCTGTTGAATGAGGGGCCCCCTAATTTGTGTCTGATATCATCCTCAGAATTCAGTGGCTAAGTAGTTGGCTGGTAAATCATCCAGGAGGCCTTGTTTCAGAAGATAACTATGAGAAAGAAACCCAAGATTTGATCAAATATTTGTTCCGGAACTTTGAAACCCTTGGCCAAATGAAGACTGGTGTTTCTTTCACCTGTGCTCCCCACCTGGAAAAAGAACAGAACTGACTTTGCTGTAAGAATCCATCTGGACAACTGTGTATGAGGCCAAAGACCTGGAGTCCTCCTCCTTGCCGAGTGTGCTTTTATTCTACTCCTGTATCCAAAAGCAATGCTCTAATGTCACAAAGGTGGCTGCATAAGACAGCAAACCCATAACCTCCACTATATTAATCACAGGTTCTTTATATTTAAAGACAGAATTTCAAATGTGTATTATGGAGATTCCAAAGAGCTCTATCTTTCACTGTCTCCTCTTTTTTTGGACTCTAGTAATATAGTCCTGTTTCATTTGGTTTTTTTCTTCTTTATTTTTATTTTTATTTATTAATTTTTTTTGGTACCGGGGCTTGAACTCAGGATCTTGCACTTGCAAGGCAGGTGGCAGAACCAATGAGCTAAATCCCTGGACCCTCTTCATTTTTGATGGCGCTGGGGATTGAACCCAGGGCCCCGTGAATGGCAGGCAAGTGGACTGAGCTACACACCGAGCCGCTATGTCTTCTTTTGATCATCTGGCCTGAAGCCAAAATCAGAAGTCTTATTAACAAGGTTGACAACCAGAAGATCCACAAACAACTCTTAACAGCAACTGAATGGCCAAGTGCTCCCCATAAACCAGAACTGAAATAAAGGTCAACTCCTCCCCACTCTGGCAGAGACACACAGCTCTTCCTCCCCTCTCCCATAGCCTGTCAGAAAAGGGGCATCTGCACTTGCATCTCCTCCAACTCACTTTCTGCGTCAAATAGTATGGGTCAAAGTCCTCCAGGGGAACTGCAACCAGGCCTTGGGGGATATCCCCGTAGATGAAAGGCAAACTCTTCCCTGCTTCCAGGTCACTGTTTGGTTTGGGCTTGCTGTCCTCATCATCTTCCCGATGGCTGCCATCGGCCTTTGGTGGTTTCTTGAGCTTGCTCTCAGCAATGCGCCTCTCAATGTTTGCCAGTGACTCAGGGGTAAACGGCTTGAAACTATCAGGGCCTGGTGGTGCAAGCAGCCGCGCTGCCATCTTCTCATCCTGCAGCAGCTTCGTTAGTTATGCTTCGTCCTGGACAGGTCAGCTCTGGAAGAAACAGCAACACAGACAGCATTAATCAATCACTGCTCTAAAAAGAGGCTAAACTATCTCACTCTGAAGCTTTATGCACAGCCTTTGCAACAGTTTCTTCCATAACATGGTTCTTTTTCCTTCAAAAAATCTGTGATGTGAATGGACTAGATAATGTTCATAACCATCCCTTGGGCAAGGATCAGCCAGGAAGATGGAAAGATAAGCATCTCCTGAATTCTAGCATTTGTAATATCTAGATCTACTCACTGTTAGGAACCACATACAACAAAAGAGATGCATTTCATATCCTTAAAAAAGTTCTACTTTAAACTAATAAAGCATATTTAACACTCCCTGGGGGCATATGTTAGTTTTGGCATCCTTATATGTTCAAGTCACCTTCCTTTCCTGATCTCCACTACTCAAAGACTTCTTTTAACTGCAATACAAGGGTAAATTGTCCCTCTTCTCAAATTTCAATTTCTGAAACCAAAATTAACCTTTAAAACTTTTCAGATGCAAAATATAGATAAAATAGCTTCTATCTGCTTTAGTCTTTTGTTGTTTTTCAATTCACCAAGTATTTCTTCAACAAACACAAAGCATATTTTTCTGCGGCAAGGGCAGACACTGCTCCCAGGACTTCCTGCTTAGCAGTGAGAGAGGGATCCCAGAGAACTTCCTCTGATGCAACACACTGCAGCACTGCAGGCTTGGCAGGCTGAAGAGGCAGGAAGGGCTGCTATGGTTCTGAAGACTGGAAGGACAGGAGCAACAAACCAGAATTCTCTTTTAAAAAAAGATGAAGTAGGCGCCAGCGATTTCTGAGTGAAGTGTGGCATTTGAAAAGCCCATTTCCACTTTTGTTTATATACAGAATCCTGGGTGATTTACCCACAAGCCTTGAAATGGAGGAATTTTGGTGGTAAAAGCAAAAATGCTGTTCCTGCCTTAAAAGGCCTGAAAAGGGCCTTACTAGCAGCTCACCTGACATCCACGGTGTGGTTTTCTTGTTTTTTTTTTTTTTGGTACCGGGGATTGAACTCGGGACCTTGTACTTGGCGAGGCAGGTGGCAAAACCACTGAGCTAAATCCCTGGCCCAATGGTGTGGTTTTCTTGAGTACCACAAGGACAGCCCAGGAAAAAAAATTTTTAAAGGCTAAAGACTGTTCTTTTTCCTCCTACTTGCCCCTCAGGGTCCACTTCAAGGCAAGTATCCATAAAACCTGAGGCTTCTCAAGAGAGCCAGTAGTAGAATTAACTCTAAGTAGTCTGGGAGTGCAGCACCTGTGGGCTCCAGTCACAAATCTACCTGCTCAGGCACACTAGTGACTGCTGGGTACGGTGCTCAGCCTGTGGAGTCTGAATGTAGGCTGTGAGATCACCTGCTTGAAGCATGGGGTTGATGAGGCCAGAAACACTGAGCTCCACACTGCACCAAAACACACCATTCCACAGGCTGTGGGGGCAGGGGGCAGAGAAATCTTTCCATGTAAGAAGCATAGGACTTTAGAGCTGCAAGATGTACATCTACAGGTCCCGTCCATTCCATTTTGCAGATGAAGAAACTTGGGATACTAAGAAGTTCGATAACTTGCCCAAAGTTGGGGGCCAGGATAAAAATCACAACCAAAGAGCTCTAACCTCTCAACTCACACTTCTTTTATAATAACAAATAATCAGTTATTCATCCTATCCTATCCTACCTCCCACTAGTTCCCAACAGGAATAATCTGGTTCATTAAGGAAATCACACAAAAATGGTAAGGCTTTACTGATCCATGACTTTATTTACAAGGTTTTCCCAATCTAGAACTCCTTTTCTCTGATTCCTTTCCTTCTACCTTCCCCTGTTTTGCCTCCAATAAATTCCTCCACAGCAAAGCCTATACAAAAACTCTAGCCTCTGCTAATTCTTCCCCTTCCCTGCTCCTACAGTAGTCAGCGGTGATCCAACCTAACATCGATCCTGGGCTATGTTTCAAGCATCTTGCTTGCATTAACTCATTTAGTCTTCAGAAACTCAAGCTGAGAGAATTAACACTTTGCCCAAAGTCACACAGCTAGAAAATGACAAAGTCAGGACTCGATATACATATAGTCACTTGTTTCAGCCTTTAATCATTGCTGAGCTGTACCTTATATGGATAGTATAAATTCCTAGAGCCTTTCAAAACTCCCTTTTGTATCCCTTTTCAGAGAGCAGGAATATGCCTGGAACCCACTATGAGACCAAAAATCTGGGACTCCCTGGCTTCCATATTCACATTTACCCTCAACTCTAGGTCACTCTCTGTTCCTCTTCAGAGCACAAAGAACACTGCAAGAGTAAGTCATTTATGATGCTGACAGATTCTTGTGATCTAATTGCAGGCAGCTGGGTTCTTCACAGCAGTTTGAGGCTAGGACCTCTGCCTTTGCTCTAAGATCCTGACTCTTCTTATCTTCCCCAGGACCACATCCCTGCAATCACTGCCCCTGCTTCCCATCACGTTTTCACCCTTCATTTTCCTTCCTGTATCTTCTCCTTGTATATCCTCATCCTCACTTGTTCTTCCTTTGGCCTACGTGACATTATGTTATCCTAGTTCTAACTGCACCTGTAGTCTCTTTCCCACCGACAGCCTCTTTCTCCTCTCGCGGCTGGCCTGATATTTCTGTTACACTCCTTTCTTTAGGAATTTTCATCTACTCAAAATAATCTGCACAGCAATGATTTTCAGATTTCTGTCACTAGCCCTAACTGTTCTTCTGAGTTCCACAGTTGGCCCGAGGGTGCCTGCCATCATTTCAAAATTTAAGCATTTAAAATCACTCTTACTTCCAAAATGGATTTCTTCTCCTGGCTTTCTCATTTATGTTATTAGGACCATCATTGTTCCAGCCATCTAGCAGTCACCTCTACCCAGTCCTCCTCTGTTGTCCAGAACAAGCCAGAAACCAGCCTTCCCAATTCTGCCTGTAGAGCTTCCATTTTCAACACTCATTGGGTTCTACTGCAACTGACTCCCTGCAGAAAGCCAGCCCTCAGTTCACCAGGTGCATCTCCAAAGATCTTTTTTTGCCTAAAAATATCTGTTTTCATTATATCATTTCCCTCCTTAAAACCTATGAGAGCTATACAGGACAGATTCCAAACTTCTGCCATGTCACTGCCTTTGGCTACTTTATACTTCTCAAGCATTCTCTTCTACTGCTTCCCTGCAAGAACATTTACTCAGGTGATTGTTGTTCCTTTTTCTAGATTTTTTAATGTTTTTCTTGTTTTTTTGTTGTTGTTTTTTTTGATACTGGGGATCGAACTCGGGACCTTGCACTTTCGAGGCAGGCGCCGGAACCAATGAGCTAAATCCCCAGCTGTTTCTCTTGTTTTGTTTCAATTTTATATGCATTTTTTAGAGATGTGCAACAACTTGAAAAAACTTGCAGACAAACCAAGTAGGCAGAAATAGAAAACAAATTAAGAAAAAGATGTCTCATGAATGCATAACATATATGTAGCTAATAGTCTGTTTCAGTGATGGCAAACCTTTTAGAGCTTTTTATGATAACAAAGAGCCCATTGTGGTGCATATGCCATGGGTTCACCACCACTGGTCTATTTGATCATTCACTACCACAAAACATACATAAATCTATTATAAAAACTAAAATTTATCAACATAAATCTATTTATTAAAACTCATGAACATACTTAGACCATACATGGGTGTCATGTACAGTATTGAGAAAATTAACAAATGTAAAGATCCAGTATTAAATCGTAACTGCAGAGAATTAACCGTGGTGCATACTATACCACTGTCAGACTTTCCTAGGTAATCTTTCTGCTACCGCAGCGTGTTCCAGGGGTGTTGCTAATCATCTCCACAGGAGCAATTTGTCTCTACAGAAAACTGCTTATCTCAGTAAAAAGTAACCTCTAACAGTTCTTGTGCATTTTTCACCATATATAATACATATAGCACACAATCTATGTTACTGTTATCAATAGCAGAGCAGTAGTAAAGTTTTTGAGCAGTCACGAGCTAGACGTGGATTTTCAATGGTATGAGGGTGAGCACCCCAAATCTGCATGACCGAAGGGTCACCTTCAATGTTTGTTTCACTGAACCATGGTCTCTCAGTCACAGCACTTTGTCCACCATACCACTACTGTTTCAGCTGTTCATCTTCCAGAGAGCTAAAGATAACATAGCCAAGGCCAGGGATTTAGCTCAGTGGTTCTGGTGCCTGCCTTGCAACTGCAAGGTGCCGAGTTCGATCCCCAGTATCAAAAAAAAAGATAACAGCCAGTAAAAGGGACTTCTGGCCTTGAGAGTTCCAAAGAAGATTGAATGAGACGCAAAGATAAGTACAACAGATAGGTACAGCCCTCTTCCTTTGGCCATCCAGGAGGATTAAAATATTAAAATGCAGGACCAGGGATTTAGCTCACTGGTTCTACCGCCTGCCTCGCAAGCGCAAGGACCTGAGTTCAATCCCCATTACCAAAAAAACAAAAACAAAAACAAAAAAATATTAAACTGCCATTTCTGGCCTGGATACATACAAATAAAGAAGAATCCTAATGAAGGGAGACATGGCATGGAAGACAAAAAGAAAACTGGCACTGAAGTGGGGTTATAACAGCGATAACAGGTAGGGAAGTCATCCAGGAGCAGCTGTTGAAGGAAACACCCTAGGCAAGGGTGTACAAGAAAATTTACTGAAGGGAAAATCAAATAAAAAGTAGCAAGTAGTATTAAGAATTTGTCTCGGGCCCGGGATTTAGCTCAGTGGTTTCACCACCTGCTGTGCAAGCGCAAGGACCTGAGTTTGATCCCCAGTACCAAAAGAAAAAAAGAACTTGTCTCAGGGGCTGTGTATGTAGCTCAGTGGTAGAGTGTTTCCCTAGGATGTGTGAGGCCCTTGGTTCAATCCCCAGCACTGCTAGCTAGCTAAATAAATATATACAAACTTGTCTCAGACTTGAAAAAGAAGAACAAACTTGAAGAAACCATACTTTCTGATATC